TCTGATCTCCTGTCTGTCGCTCTCTGATCACCTGTCTGTCGCTCTCTGTGTACCTGTCTGTCTCTGTCTGATCACCTGTCTGTCTCTCTGATCACCTGTCTGTCGCTCTCTGATCACCTGTCTGTCTCTCTCTGATCACCTGTCTGTCGCTCTCTGATCACCTGTCTGTCGCTCTCTGTGTACCTGTCTGTCTCTCTCTGATCACCTGTCTGTCTCTCTCTGATCACCTGTCTGTCGCTCTCTGATCACCTGTCTGTCTCTCTCTGATCACCTGTCTGTCTGATCACCTGTCTGTCTCTGCAGGCCTGGTGTGTAGCAGGAAACTGTTTCAGTCTGCAGAGGGAGCATGACATCGCCATAAAGTTCTTCCAGAGAGCCATCCAGGTGAGCTGCTGTTACCATGGTTACCATTTCTACTGTTACCATAGTGACCAAGGTCAGGCTGGCTTGGTCTTTGTAGTTTGAGGGACAGGTGCAGAATGGACTAGTGTAGTCTCACCTATTGCTCTATAACCTGTCTGTCTCTCTGTCTCCACCTGTCTGTCTCTTAGGTGGACCCAGGCTTTGCGTATGCGTACACTCTGTTGGGTCATGAGTTTGTTCTGACAGAGGAGCTGGACCGAGCACTCGCCTGCTTCCGCAATGCCATCAGAGTCAACAACCGACACTACAATGCATGGTATGGTCACCGTGGTAACCAACATACTGTATGTAGACACATGCAGTCAGTGAGCGCTTTATTAGGAACACCACACTAACACAGGTACTTCTTCATGTCATGGATCCACCAGATGTTGAAACTTTACTCTGAGGCTCTGCTCCATGTTGACATCATCACCACCATCATCATCATCATTCCTCACTGTCATGTTGATGAAACCAGTTTGTGACATGGAGTATAATCCTGCTGGAAGGAGCCATTAGAAGATGATCAACAATTCTCAGACTGAGGCAGTCAGACCATGATTGATTGATTGATTGATTGATTGATTGATAGATAGAAGAAAACATTCCCCACACCATCACACCACCACCAGCCTCGACTGTGGACACAAGGCAATAAGCAGGTGTTCCTAATAAAGTGCTCAGTGAGTGTATATATACAAATGTAGTAGGGGTTTAACAAATCTGAAACTGAGACAGAAGTCAGTCAGATGGTCATATGTTAAGGTTACACCACAAGGTCAACAGACACAAGATGGTAACTATGGTAAAAGACATACAAATTTTGAATCTACACTACACCATTAAAACACAGTGCATCTGATGACCATGGCTCTGCATTACAGTACAGTGTGTAATGTTGTTGTGTTGTGTCTGTGGCGTTCAGGTACGGTCTGGGGATGATTTACTACAAACAGGAGAAGTTCAATTTGGCAGAAATCCACTTCAAGAAAGCTCTGAGCATCAACCCTCAGAGCTCTGTGCTGCTCTGCCACATCGGAGTGGTAGGTTAGCATGTAGCATCCTCCATTCGTAACAGCTGCTGTGTTAGCATGTAGCATCTTCCATTCATAACAGCCGCTGTGTTAGCATGTAGCATCCTCCATTCGTAACAGCTGCTGTGTTAGCATGTAGCATCTTCCATTCATAACAGCCGCTGTGTTAGCATGTAGCATCCTCCATTTTCTAACAGCTGCTGTGTTAGCATGTAGCATCTTCCATTCATAACAGCCGCTGTGTTAGCATGTAGCATCTTCCATTCATAACAGCTGCTGTGTTAGCATGTAGCATCTTCCATTCATAACAGCCGCTGTGTTAGCATGTAGCATCCTCCATTCGTAACAGCTGCTGTGTTAGCATGTAGCATCTTCCATTCGTAACAGCCGCTGTGTTAGCATGTAGCATCTTCCATTCATAACAGCCGCTGTGTTAGCATGTAGCATCCTCCATTTTCTAACAGCTGCTGTGTTAGCATGTAGCATCTTCCATTCATAACAGCCGCTGTGTTAGCATGTAGCATCCTCCATTCGTAACAGCTGCTGTGTTAGCATGTAGCATCTTCCATTCATAACAGCCGCTGTTTTAGCATGTAGCATCTTCCATTCATAATAGCTGCTGTGTTAGCATGTAGCATCTTCCATTCATAACAACTGTTCTGTTAGCATGTAGTACCAACCCCATGCGAAAGAAGAACACCAATAGGTGTTTGTGGTTGTGTGTGTAGGTGCAGCATGCGTTGAAGAAGTCTGATGCAGCTTTAGAGACTCTGAACAGAGCGATCGGGATCGACCCTAAAAACCCACTCTGCAAGTTCCACCGAGCATCTATACTCTTCGCCAATGACAAGTACAAGGTAATCAATAATGATTAATAGTGTTCAATACATGCTGAGGTTGTAACCACCTGTTTCTCTGACCTGTCTGTCTCTCTGACCTGTCTGTCTGCAGGCAGCTCTTCAGGAGTTGGAGGAGTTGAAACAGATTGTTCCCAAAGAGTCTCTGGTTTACTTCCTGATAGGAAAGGTAACAGCTGATCCACTCTGACCCATGACCCCTGACTTGTTGTTTGACCCCGTCATGTTCATTGTATGTGAGTTTGGTCACGTCTCATTAGTCTACCTGTTCAGAGGCAGTGATGATGTTGCGTCACCTGAGTGTTCTTTGATTGGATGGAGAACCTGGATCCACATCGAGGACCTGGACACACAGAAACAATAAAAACCTGCAGCTAGCAGGTGTCTCACCTGAGACCACACACACCAGTGGACATGGAGTTAAACCTGAACCTGAACCTGTCTGTCTAACACCCCCTTTCCTCTGTCTCTCAGGTGTATAAGAAGCTGGGTCAGACTCACCTGGCTCTGATGAACTTCAGCTGGGCAATGGATCTGGATCCTAAAGGAGCAAACAACCAGATCAAAGAGGCCATCGATAAGAGATACCTGCCAGAGGACGAAGGTACAGACACAACTCTACCTTCAAGTCATGTGACATCAGATTTGATGCTGCAGGTTTACACCAGGTCAAGGTCTGAAAGAACCAGGTTCTTCACATCAGTATCAGTTTTCATGTTGTCAATAGAATGAACAAGAGACACTGACCACACCTGTCTCTCTCCACCTGTCTCTCTCCATCTATTTCACCTGTTAGCAGCGGAGGTGGACGACAGTCAAGACAGCAGCATCATGACGGACGCTGACGACACGCAGCTCCACACGGCTGAGAGTGATGATGTCCTTTAACCACGCCCCCTCAAACCTGTCCCCTGCTCAAAGTCACACCCCCTGCCCTGATTGGCTGGAGGACTGCTGTTGCTAGGCAACATTCTGACAGACAGCTCTTTGGTTTAGCTCCGCCCCCAGTCCTCCCCCTGATTGGCTAAAACAGACTGCTGCCGCCCTGAACCCCGCCTCCTTCCTCATGTCATTGAGCTTGTCCTCTGACATCACAGCTGTTTTTTTTATGTTCTTTTTATCATCGTTATGGAAATAAATCAATAAAAACATGTGAACCCTGCCCACCACTGTTTGTCCGCTTCCTGTCTACCAACATCAAATCACACCAGCTCTGCTCTCATTGGATCCGGTGAGTGAGAGTCACATCACATGTGACACGTCTCTGACTTGCTGTGATATCACGCTGACATCAACGATGGCGTCATGATACAACGTTTATTCAACTTTCTCCCATGTCACATGATCTTAAAACCTCAACAAGGCTCCTTCACTGACTCTCCTCCAGCTGGGGACCACCTCTGCAGCAACAGAGCTGTGTCCTGATTGGCTAAAGTTCAGTGACACGTGTTCTTCGTTCTTATTGGAAGAAGTTCAGAGGTGCATTCCGATCAGCTAGTAGTTCCCTGCAAAGTGTGACTGTACAGGGTATTCAGCCATGTTAAGTCAGTCAGTCTAAACAGCCTGTCAAAAGTAAGCCAACGGTCAATTGGTCTGTAAACAGCCTGTCTAACACATTGAGGGTCACACTCTTCATTTTGAATACAAACAGAAGAACCCACTGCTGTGACAGGTGAACCCTGACGTTTTGTTTACTGATGATACAGTTGTTTACTGATGAATCAGTGCTGCTGCATCAGTTGTGCAGTAGAGCAGGGTTCCTGTGTTTCTCCATGTTGATCCAGACTGACTGAATCACCAGCTGTGTGAAAATGAACGCAGCTGTAGCTGCTATGAAGGTCACATGACAAACATTTCCTGTTTCTCTCTGAACGTTAGCTGCTCATTGACTAATGGGTGCAGTTCTATCCTGAACCAGTTTCTGCTCTGGACCTGTGTGCTCAGGTTCTGGTCTCAGTGTGGACGTTCTTTAACAGTTGTCCCTCTCAGACAGATGTGTCAGGTCTTAGACAACGTACGAATCAGAACCTCATCAGCTCTGTTGTGAGCATCAAACGCCAGAATCCTGACCTGAGACTGGAAACATCTGCAGGACTCTGAGGACTCCTGTTCTCTGTGACTCAGAACAAACCAGGATCCAAAATGAGAATGGTCAGGGCTGTGATCAGATTTTTAGAGGAGTGGACTCTGGTACCAAAATCCACCTTTATCTCAGAAACGTAATGTTTTTAAATCGGTACCTTCAGTTGTACAAAATAAGGTGAGTCAGAGTCACAAAGTCAGATCTGGGCCAGAAACATGATCAGGACATAGTTAAAATATCTGGAGGAACCAGAACCAGCTGAAACTATAGACTGCATGATTATATGATGTCATGAACATGCTAATTGGAGTATTACATCATCAGCAACATTCAGTCACTTTCTGTTGACAGTGGTTGTTGCTGTTCATTGTCCACACACAGTCTAGACCTGTATCAGGTTTTGTCTTGGTCTTGTTTCCAGATCTGGTCTTGATTTCCCCAGATCCACCCTCCCCACCCCCCTGCCCACCCTGATTACAACAAACATTACGCAGGTGAGATCCAAGAGAAACTTTATTGGTACAAAGCACTTTAACAGCCGACAGGCAGAGAGACTTTATGGTTTTTGGCACCTGGTATCAAAGTGCATTCTGGGCATTTTAAATGATGGGGGGGGGGGGAAATGGGGTTAAGGTGGGGTGGTTGGGGGCCATCACAAGGACCTACAGCACATCAGCATTCAGAAACATAGAAGAGATGATGATTGGCTGAAAGAGGTGACATCAGAGAGACTTTCTGTGATTGGAGGGATTTTATGAAAGAAGCTAACAGGCTAATCCAGGCTACTTAGCCATTAGCATGTTCTCTGTTTTCTCCAGTCAGACGAGAAGATGGATCTCAGTTTCCCCTCAAGGACTCCTGGAACTTCCTCCAGGATGACCTGGAATCCTGTCAAACTTCCGATGTCCAGGATCCCAACTTGTCAAGGATCCATGGAGACACACTAGTCACTAGTGTGGACTTTGGGCAGCTAAGTGTCTGAATCAAACAGCAGCAATGGCAGAGATTCTGAGCCAGGCTCAAAGATGGGTTTAACCCACAGTAGGCTATGCCATCTGATTGGTTAGATGTATTTGTTTCTGTGATCTGATTGGTTGTTAGTATGTAGGTTTTCTTAAAAACATTTTCTATTGCAGTGTTTGCATTGCCCTACCCCACTTGTAACACTCTACACTCTGGAACACTTTCTTCAAGGACCTCAAAACCTCCTCGAAGACTCAAGACCTTCAGTTTCATTTTGTTAGTCCATAATAGCAATAGATCCAGTGTTCAGCCTAGCTTAGCAGAAAGGCTGGAAGCAGGAGCGAACTTCTAGCCTAGCTTAGCATTAACCCTAACCCTACAACTTCACAAGATCTCTCAGTTTGTCTTTTAATGGACCTAGGCTAACAGTTTTCCTCTGTCTCCAGTCTTTGTGCTAAGCTAGGCTAATCACTTCCTGGCTCTGTTTCTGTACTGGATGAATGAAAATGATGATCTTCTTGTTTGACTCTGGAGAAAACAGTCACCAGATGTGTTAATTAAACTGTCTGAGTGCTGCTTCCTGTGACAACTGAACACCTGGATGGACTCACCTGTGAGACAGAGCTTTGATTGGTTGTTGACTGAAGTTTAAAGCTTGTTTGTTTCACTTTATAAAACCCCTTCAATCCCGTCTTTGATGAAGATGCTCATGAGGAAAAAGGCAGAATATTTTTTTTTCTTTCTTTCATCAGGCAGTTTCCTTGGTAACAGGAGGGGGTGGGGTCTGCAGGCACAGGGTTTGTCCAATCACAGGCCTTGTTTGGCAAGGGAGGCTGACACCTGACAGGAAGAAGACGTTTGTGAATGTGTGTCATTTTATTTTTGTGTTTATGGTCCGAACAGGTAAATCTCTCACCTGGTCGGCCAGGGTGTCAAGGGGCGGAGCTTCGGCAGCGTTAATGCTCCCAGGGGAGGAAGTGTTGCTAAGGTGATGAGGGGAAGAGTCAGACTGGACGATGATGTCAGCACCGTGGTCGGTTCGGGCTCTGGCCTGCTCTCTGAAGGTCAGTTTCTGACTTTCAATCTGACAACACACCATCACATCCCGTTATAATGAACACATGTAACCTTCTAATTAACATGTTTAATATTAGAATAAACATGTAATAATCTAATGAGAACAGATACTTTTACGTACACATATAATACACAAATATATAGTTACATGTATAAATACAGTACATGATGTTTATATATATATACTGGTTATATATGAGTTATGTGGTGGTGTGTTATGAGCCGGTCCTTGTAGCACCACAATGAGAACCGTACGTTCTCTCAGTCACATGTTTGCTGAGTGTTGATGAACAACGTTTGGAGGTCTGAATGATACAGAAACAGCAAATATACATACAGATATAAAAAGATACTTGGAATCAAAGTGAATTTTGGGTAGAGACTGTGGTGTGTCAGGTGAGTGTGTTCTCAGTTACCTTCTTCTTCCCTCCTCCTGGAACATGAGTGACGTTCTCCAGAGAACCCACTTTAGACTGAACCGCTTTAAAAGCCACCTTCTCTGATTTAATCTCCACCTTCCCTCCACCTGGTTAATAATAAACAACAGATTATCATGTTTGTGTGTGTGTGTGTGTGTGTGTGTGTGTGTGTGTGTGTGTGTGTGTGTGTGTGTGTGTGTGTGTGTGTGTGTGTGTGTGTGTGTGTGTGTGTGTGTGTTTGTGTGTGTGTGTGTGTGTGTGTGTGTGTGTGTGTGTGTGTGTGTATGTGTGTATGTGTGTATGTGTGTGTGTTACCTGGTTTGTGGTGGATGTTGTCTTTGGAGCCGCATTTTGACGCCACATTACCAAGATCCAACTTTTTGTTAACAATCTGAACCTGCAGACAGACAGGTAAAGACAGACAAGTACAGACAGACAGGTAAAGACAGACAAGTACAGACAGACAGGTAAAGACAGGCAGACAGGTGGGAGTCAGCTAAGCGTTTACTGGTCTTTAGCTCCAACAGTTAAATGTGTGTGTTTCAGTTGTGAGTGTGTTACCTTGCCCCCTCCAGGTGTGTGTTTCAGGTTCTCCGTGGATCCAACCTTTGACCTCACGTTACTGAGGTCAGGCATAGGGTGGGAGGTTAGGGGAGGCGTCCGTCCACGAGCAGGACCGGGAGACCTGGGAGGAGTCCGGACCACAGCCACCTGCAGGACCAGACCAGAACCAGTACACAACCATGAAAAGCAGTAAAACCTGCTGAACCAGGAACACCATCAGAACCATCAGAACCATAGACCCTGTGTACACAGGTAGACAGGCGGACAGGTGGATGGGTGAACAGGTAGACGGGTGGACAAGTAGACAGGTAAACATGTAGACAGGTGGACAGGTAGACATGTGGCCAAGTAGACAGCTTGACGGGTGGACAGGTAGATGGGTAGACAGGTAGACAGGTACACATGTAGACATGTGGACAGTTAGACAGGTAGACATGTGGACAGGTAGACAGGTGGACAGATAGACAAGTAGATTGGTGGACAGGTAACGGATGGACAGGTAGACATTAAGACAGACAGACCTTCTTGACGTCTCTGTTTGGAGTGGAGGACCGACTTGCCGGAGAACGACTTCCTGGACTGACTCCATCCACTGACTCTGACAGACAGACAGGTCAAACTGGTCTTAGTGGTCGAACTGGTCTTAGTGGTCAAACTGGTCTTAGTGGATGAACTGGTCTCAGTGGATGAACTGGTCTTAGTGGTCGAACTGGTCTCAGTGGATGAACTGGTCTCAGTGGATGAACTGGTCTCAGTGGATGAACTGGTCTTAGTGGCTGAACTGGTCTCAGTGGATGAACTGGTCTTAGTGGTCGAACTGGTCTCAGTGGATGAACTGGTCTTAGTGGCTGAACTGGTCTCAGTGGATGAACTGGTCTCAGTGGATGAACTGGTCTTAGTGGATGAACTGGTCTCAGTGGATGAACTGGTCTCAGTGGTTGAACTGGTCTTAGTGGATGAACTGGTCTTAGTGGATGAACTGGTCTTAGTGGATGAACTGGTCTCAGTGGATGAACTGGTCTTAGTGGCTGAACTGGTCTTAGTGGATGAACTGGTCTCAGTGGATGAACTGGTCTTAGTGGATGAACTGGTCTCAGTGGATGAACTGGTCTTAGTGGCTGAACTGGTTTTGTACCTGTACTCTTGGCTGAGATCATCTTGGCTGCTCTGGTGCCTCCCGTTGTCCTGGAGGCCTGAAACATGCAGAAACATTATTATTGTTATTATTATTATTGTTGTTGTTATTATCAGTAGTATTAGTATTAGTAGTAGCAGTAGCAGTAGTATCAGTAGTATTATTCATAGTAGAAGTAGAAGTAGTAGTAGTAGTAGTAGTAGTAATAGTAGTAATAGTAGTATTATTATTAGTATTAGTAGTAGTAGTATTAGTATTAGTATTATTATTACAATATTTTACCTTCACAGTTTCATCAGCTGACTTTTCTGCTGAAACACAGAAGAAGAAAAGTAAGTTATTGTAAACACAAACATGCAGAGGTCAAAGGTCAGAGTGGGGTGGTGGGGGTGGTGGTTATGTAACCCTTTTTCCATGACAACCAGGAGTTCATTCAAGCTGAGGTCAACAGGAAGTGTCCAGTCTGTGTCACTTTCAACGGGAGAAATGAAAAGGTGAAAAGTTCTTTTAACTTCCAGAAACATGACACAGAGGGGGAGTGGGAGGAGGCCGGTTGGAGGGGTGGAGGGGTGGAGGGGTGGAGGGGGGGGTGGGGGGGGTAATCCAAAGGACAGAAACCTTTGTGCAGGGGAGAGAGGAGAAACTGTGATTTCCTAAGCTGGACACAGACCAGCTTTAGTTGGAGAGCGCTTGTTATTGCTGCGTCTCGTGTGGCTCGTGAGAGGGAGGAGCTGAGAATCGAAGAATCAAACATGCTTCTCTCATGCTCGAGAGCTCCGCTCGCTGGTCAGAGGAGTGCTTGTTTTCATCAGCCAGGGCGGCCTCGATCATGTATACTTCCAAGAAGGGTAGAAGGACGGGGAGGGTGTTTGGACATCCAGCTGCTCCTCAGCAGAGGCTCTGAGCTGGACTCGTGCACATCGTTGTTTTGACCTCCTGGGAAGTTGGTGGAGCTGTGTGGCTCTCGTTTGCTCCCTCAGCGACATCACAGCTGCTTCCTTTCTCCTCCTCCTCTTCATTCACGAGGAGGTGTGGAGCGAAGGGCAGGGAGTCCCTCTGGGGTTCTTCGTCAAAACATTCTTTCTCCTCCTCTTCATCACGAGGAGGTGTGGGAGGAGAAGCCGGGATTGTCTGTCCTGTTCCTCCTCTTCTGCTCCTCTTCAGTTCCTCAGTGCTGCTCCCCATCTGTTATATCCATCTTCTTGGCTGCTCCTCACCTCCCTGCCCCTCTTCTGTTCGGCCCTGGTGTGCAGAACACTGAGAGAGTCGTCGGTCGTGGACGGGAGGAGCAGAGGAACACAGAGGAAGGAGGAGCAGTAGATAGGAGGAGGAGGAGGAGGAGGAGGGAGAGAGAGGAAGGAGGACAGGAAGAGAGAGGCAGGAGGCAGGAAGGAGGAGGAGGAGGGAGAGAAGAGTGAGGAGGAGGAGGGAGAGAGGACGAGGAGGAGAGGAGGAGGAAGGGAGAGAGACAGGAGGAGGAGGAGGAGGAGGAGGAGCAGTAGATAGGAAAGGCGCGAGGAGGGAGGAGGGAGAGAGAAGGAGGAGGAAGCAGGGAAGAGAGAGGAGGAGGAGGAGGGAGAAGGCAGAGGGAGAGAGAGGCAGGTAGGAGCAGCCGAAGAGAGAGGCAGGAGAGGAGGGAGGAAGGAGGAGGGAGTTGAGAGGAGGCGAGGAAGAAGGAGAGAAGACGAGGGGAGGAGAGGAAGGAGGGAGAAGAGACGAGGAGAGGAGGAGGATGGAGGAGGAGGAGCAGTAGATAGGAGGAGGAGGAGGAGGAGGAGGGAGAGGAGAGGAGGAGAAAGGAGGAGGGAGAGGAGCGAGGCGGAGGAGCAAGTAAGATAGGAGGAGGAGCAGAGATAGGAGGAGGAATGGAGGAGAAGGGAGAGAGGAGAGGCAGGAATAGGGCACGGAGGAGCAGGAAGAGAGAGGAGGAGGAGGAGGGACAGAAGAGGCAGGAATAAAAGGAAGGAGATAAAGGGGGGGCGGCGAAAATGGAGCGCCCTGGGGAGGGAACGGGAAAGGACGAAAAAGAAGAGAGAGGAAAGCGGAGGAAGGGAGAGAGATGCAGGAAGGTGGAGGACGAACAGAGGAAGGAGGGCAGAGAAGACGAGCGAGAGAGTGAGGAGGAAAGGAGGAGGGAGGAGGAGCAGTAGATCGGAGGAGGGGAGGAGGAGAGGAGAGGGAGGGGAGGAGGAAGGAGGAAGGGAGGAGGGGTCTGCGGAGATAGGAGAGGGAGGGGAAGCGAGGAAATGGGAGAGAAGATGAGAGGGAGGAGGAGAACGCGGAGGGAGGCAGTAATTTTAGAGGAGGAGAGGAGAACACGATGAAGGAGGAGGATGGATAAGTAACAGCAGAGGAGAGAGACGAAGGAGCGCAGGATGTGAGGAGGAGAGGCAGGAGAGAGAGGAGGAGGAAGCGAGGGAGAGAGCGGAGGAGGGAGGAAGGCGAGAGGAGAGGAGCAGGAAGAGAGAGAGGAAGAGGAGAGGAGGACGCGGAGAGAGAGGAGGAGGGAGGAAAGTTGATGAAGCGAGTAAGGGATAGAGGAGGTAGATATCCGAAAGAGGGAGCGGAGGTGGGCGTGAATTTGCCGTTTTATGTGTGACGTTGGGGGAGGGACAGGGAGGGTAGAGAGAGGAGAGAAAGGAGGAGCGCAGGTAAGGAGGAAGGGAAGAAGAGACGAGGATGAGAGGAGGAGGAAGCGAGGAGGGAGCAGTTAAAGAATTAGGAGGAGGAGGAGGAGAGAGGCAGTGCCGAGGTGGTGCCCGGGGGGGTGGGCGTGATGGGAGGAGCGGACAGGAGGATGAGGAGTGGAGAGGAGTAGAGAGGAGGGAAGGAGGAGGAGGAGGAGGAGGGAGAGAGGGAGGAGACAGCATAGTAGATATCAGGGAGCGAGGAGGGGAGGGGGAGGAGAGAGAGAGGAGGGAGGGGAGAATAATAGCGGAAGAGAAGGAGGGAGGAGTTTGTAGGAGAGGAGAGAGCGCTTATCGTAAGATAGGAGAGGGGAAGGAGGAGGAGGGTAGGTGGAGGGAAGAGAGAGGAAGGGGAGGAGGAGCGGGAGGAGGAGGGAGAGAGACGAGGTATGGTGAGGAGACGGAGAGGAGGAAGCAGGTAGATGGAGGAGGGGAGGAAGGGGAGGCAAAGGAGCGGGCACGACGCGCAGGGAGGAGGAGAGATTGATAAGGGGAGAGAGAGAGGAGCGAGGAGGGAGGACGAAGCAGTTAGAATTAGGTTCAGGACGAGAGGAGAGGCGGGAGAGCAGAGGG